AACGGCTACTTAAGTCCCATTATATAACTAGCCTGTACTTGGTCCACGCCAATGTCCATTACTTGGTCAAGGTAGTTGAAAAAACCCAACCAACCAGGCCCACCACCCAGTTATACCCATCGCTTGTACCCCTCTCTGCAAACATAAATATTTACCTGATGACTTTGTACCATTGTAATTACGAGCTACGGCAGTAGCATATGTACAAATGTAAATGATTTCTTTGTTCTCATTGGTATATTGTAACGTTGGCACATTTTGTCTATACTGTACCGACGAAACCGATGATTATATTTTAATTTGTAAATTATACATGTATAAATATTGCAAAATTTTAAAGTCGACGTCATGTCAGCGATATTGTCCATCACTACCATTCGTACAAATTGTCAACATTTATTTATGCTGTCATCACTGCCGTCATTTTGTTTATGCCATTGTACATAATATAGTCATGTGTATTTTATCTATGTACGTATAGATAGAAAAATATAAAACGTGGTCCACACGCACTTGATTGTATATCATTTTTAAAAGAAAAACAAAATGAGTTTAAAATTGTGTCCATTTGAAAACATGTTAACATATCATTCATAACTTTAGTTTCTCTTTTAGCTGAATGTTTATAATTACCTTGACCACCGTACCTCATTTGCAATCCTGAGTTAGGACGCGTGGACGCGTCCTTAAACATAGAGGGGCCGTATATCATAGGCAAGATTTGCAGGACGGGCTCTGTATTAAGAAACATCAATCAGTGACATTACTCACACCCTCCCCCTTTGTCTCCCCCTTGGCAAAATTCCTTGTGGGGGATGCGCCTTGAACTACCGGTGACATGGCTAGAACACGCATGTTAGCCACGGAGGACGTCTAAATAAGGGGTGAGGGAAGTCAGGTGTATTCCTAGAACTCAGGGATATTCTTAGAATGCAAGTCCAAAAAGAAGATATCCTGATGGTCACTGCATTGACAACATGGGGGATTGCAGACGAGGTGCTACTGGTCAGGAGGTATAACCTTATTAGGAACATTGTCAGGAATGTGAGATATGTTGAGGAAAGATATATATGATTGTGAACCAGCCGAGCTGGGGAAGTTGAGACTGAGAGTCAGAGCTACAAGTTGTAACTGTGTCTCAATAAAGTTGTTGTCGACCCTCAGACGGACTTGTGTCGTATATCGAAGGAGACAAGAAGAAGTATCCCCTAGAACACAATCTTCTACGGCGGATAATAGGTTTAGAATTTAGGGTGTATTGGCAGCTTGTTTGTTGTACTTTTATTTTCACATGCGGCCAAGTAGGCCTGTTTTGATTAGATATATGCCTAGTGCTTTAAATGTTTGTAAGTCATTTAGATGGTTGCTAGTGTCATTTGATTGTTGCATTGTGGATTGGAGTGTTGTTCTGTGTTGCTGGTAATGTGTGCAATATAATAATATAATATTACGTGTTCAGGCGTTTCTTTTAAGTTGCAGTGTGGGCATTTACTGGTTTGGTGTTTTTTTTCAATTTGGTGTAGGTGGGAGTTTAACTTAGTTTGGCCTGTTTGTAGTTTAGGTATTACTCTGTCAATTTTTTTGGTTTTATGATGGATTTTTTTTTTTTGAGTGGCTTTTGAAGCAGGTGTTTTAGTTTGCAGTCAGATTTCTGATAGTTACTTTGCCACTTTTGGAAGATTTTCTCCTTTGTGATACTTTTAATTTGTTTTTTTTACATTGGTAGGTTGATGCTTGCTTCTTCCAATTTTAGTGCCGACTTGGCTGCTTTGTCTGCCTGTTCGTTGCCAAACACTCCAACGTGGGCAGGGATCCAAACTATTTCTATGTCTTCACCTAGTTTATGTAGATTGTTGGCGCTTTTAATTATCTGTTGTATTAGATTTGGGCGTTTTTTTGTGTTTTTGTTTTTTATGGCCTGGAGCCCACTTAATGAGTCTGAAAGGATTAGGGTTTTTTGGTGTTTATTTATTTGATCGCTGTGCAGGGCTGTTACTATCTCCATTAATCCGGCTGTGAAAATTGATTGATTATTTGGGAGTCTATATGATTGTGTTTCTTTTTGGGGTTTATTAATATGGATGCCGAATCCTGTGCGTTTGGAGCCCGGGTCAAAGGACCCGTCTGTGTAAATGTGACCCCAATTTGGCAATTTTTCGTGAATGTATGCTAATGTGATGGATTTAGCGGTATTTGGATCAGTTTCTTTATTTAGTCTGGTGGAGAGAGATATGTAGATTTGGGGGGTTTGGAGTTTGGGTGTGAAGGTGTTACTTGAGGCTGTGTTTAACTGTAAATTATTTAGGTTGTGTATATTTATTATGCGTTGAGAGATTGGTGTTTAATTTAGGGTTTATGCGAGCTAGAGCTTGGAATCTGGGGCTTATGTTAGTTTTAAGGATCTGTTGGATTTGTTGGTTTTGTTGGGTTGAGGCCCAGTAATTTATTGTTAGACGTTCTCGGCGTAGATCCAGGGGTATTTCGCCTGTTAGTGCCTGTAGCGATATGCGCGGTGTGCCATGCTGAGTGCGTGTGATTATCCTGAGTGCTTGATATTGAATTGAGTTTAGTTTATCGCTTAATGGGGAGTTTAAGGTGTTGTATATTTCAGGTTTGTATGGTTCAGGTGCCACTGTTCATGTTACCGGCATGCACTGCGAGGACGTAGGCTGGTTCAGGTGCCACTGTTCATGTTACCGGCATGCACTGCGAGGACGTAGGCTGGTTCGGGTGCCCCTGTTCATGTTACCGGCATGCACTGCGAGGACGTAGGCTGGTTCAGGTGCCACTGTTCATGTTACCGGCATGCACTGCGAGGACGTAGGCTGGTTCGGGTGCCCCTGTTCATGTTACCGGCATGCACTGCGAGGACGTAGGCTGGTTCAGGTGCCACTGTTCATGTTACCGGCATGCACTGCGAGGACGTAGGCTGGTTCAGGTGCCACTGTTCATGTTACCACCATGCACTGCGAGGACGTAGGCTGGTTCAGGTGCCACTGTTCATGTTACCGGCATGCACTGCGAGGACGTAGGCTGGTTCAGGTGCCACTGTTCATGTTACCACCATGCACTGCGATGAAGCAGCCTGATTCGGGTGCCACTTGTAAATTGTGTTTTCACAATAATTTACCATATACCTTGACAAAGTTCCTTTGTCAAGTGGTATACATCTCAATTAGGTAATTATGGTAATGGTTCTCAGACAACCCTGCGTTGATTTTTTTTTGTAGAATATGTAAACAGTTTCCGAGTTATGCTCTTGCTAAGGAAACATTCGTAAAAACTCCCAAACTATCAAAAGGCAGCAGTTTACCTCTAGACCTATTAATAAGTTTGGAAGAAATATTGTACGGTTTTCAAGATCTGTGCCAAGTTTGGTGATTTTCAGTGTAAGTCAAAGTCGTTGCCATGGAAACTCGAAAAAACTTCTTTTTTTAAATCCCAGACTATCAAAAGACACCAGTTCACCACTAGACCTATCTATGTGCCAAGTTTGGTGAAGAAATATCGTACGGTTTTGAAGATCTGCTCCTGAAACGAGCACAACTGCCATTTTCAGTCTAAGTCAAAGTCGTTGCCATGGAAACTCGAATTATTTTTTTGGTTTAAATCCCAAACTATCAAAAGGCACCAGTTCACCACTAGACCTATCTATGTGCCAAGTTTGGTAAAGATATCTCTCATGGTTTTTGTGTTCTGCTCGGGAAATGAAATGTGACGGAAGGATGGAAGGACGGCCCCAATTCCTATATTCCCCTTCCACTTCGTGGCGGGGGATAATTACAGCATCTATATACCTATGATTGTGGTAACGAGACAGACGTGGCCAGGTAGCATATCAGAGACGTCAGAGAGCCAACCTGCCTAGCCGCTGTCCGAGGGTCAAGTTCGACCAACAGAAAGTATTCTAACTTTAACTACCAGTCAAATCACTGACCAGCGGCCACGTATCAACAACGTTACCACTCTGGTCAGTCTGCAGTATCCCGTACCTCAGCCACACGTGAAAATATCGCCTTCACCCCCCCCCCCCCCCCCCCCCCCCCCCCCGTCACTCGTCTGTTGACGTCCTTTTTACGTGAGTTCCCCATTGACAAGGCAAAATAATGACAGATGGTCATTTATGGAGTTAATATCACTTCTTGCTGGGTTTTTTTATTCTCTCGAAAATATTTCGTTATAAACTGTAAATTTCCGATTTAATTCGTCAATGGAGACTGTTGGTTTCGTCAATCGAGACTGTTGGTTTCGCAACGCCCCATTTTTGTTACCTGACCAGCGTTTATTTTTTCGCTTCTAACAGTGGTCTCGTAGTTTGCAAGAATATTTTTGTTACAGTTGACTTTGTGTATCATCACATCTGAATGTATGATAAAGAATTTTCGTGACCCTGAATATTTATTTATATTTTTGGTCATATTTTGCAAACGCGAAACCACCTATTAAGTCGCAAATACAAGGGTTGGTGAACCGTCCCTGTCTGTTACGTAGGCAGAATTACGTTTCAAGGTTTCACATTTGGAATGAAATAATTTTATTTTCCGGTAGACACCTACACAAAAAGGTATTTAAGAAATAGGATATTCCATATGTCGAGTGAAATATCATGTTTCTCTTATCTCGTGACGGGGGGAAAGGAGATAAGTCACTCGTACATACTTTGCAAATTATAGAAACATTGTAATCAACTCGATTTGTTTTTCCAAACCTCATCAAATAAAAGTGCATACGTCGCGGCACAGGCCATACTTAATAGTTACAGTTAACAGTCACTTACCACACTTCAAATTTAACGAATGCACTTCCATCCCAGAATAATCAATGGTTTGTCGCTGAAATATAATTCTCATTAGGACCAGACAAAATTTCATACACATGAAATAGTCAAAATGATGAGATAATGTGTTGTTGGCAAATACGCCATCAATGAAATAAAAAACAATAAAGAGAGAGAGAGAGAGTAGGGAGAGAGAAAAGACAAGACTGATACGAAAACAACACACAAATGTGAGGTAGTTTATTCTTGTACTATAATACTTCAGTTATAACATCGCGTGTCAGCTTAATGCGGCAGGAAAGTCTAAAGTCTAAGACATTATTCAACTTGGTGAAGCCAACGAGCACGGGTATGGTGGTGACACATTAAGAAACAAACAGAATCCGATCATAGGTTTCTGGCACACCCAAGGGAAGCCAATCTGCACAGGAAATTCCGCTTGTTAGACGACGGGGGTCGTACCTGACTTGGTACAATAAAGGATGGGTTGTGTTTTTGGCTTGCATCGAACACTTAAACACTGCCGCTTTGCTTCTCTCAGAAAGGCACATCTTGACATTGCCGTACACAATACAGCAGATGCAAAGCTACTTCATCTACATGATTTTCTGATTGACGAACATCTCAACATTAGCGATCTTCTCTAATGTTACATTGTCAATCCTGTCTGACACACTTTTTATTCAGTCCCATTGGGTTCTCAGCAACCTTTGTCATCGCCATCTTTATATTGTTCTGCCCCGGCCAACAGACGGTTGCTGAGCTCTGCATTGCTGTCTTCATTTGTACCGTTAGATTTCTGTTCTGATAATAAATGGTGATCATTTTCAGACTTGTCATCAGAGTCGACACAGTCATCCTGATCATCACTGGTGCTGAGGTTGATTGGGAGGCCAGTCCTCTTTTTGAACACTGGGATAGCGATAGAAAGAGCACTGCCAAGCACAAGAAAAGCACCTGTAACAGTCGAAAATTCATTAGTGAGTGAGTGAGTTGGGTTTAACGCCGCTTTTATTATACAGTATTCAAGTTGTATCACGGCGTGTCAGCTTAATGTGGGAGGAAAGCCCGAAGTGATGCAGGTCTCAGACGTTTACCACTTCGGTGAAACAAATCTACTACAAGCTCACATAAGCAAACATTATTCATTTCCAATGATACATTGCAATATAATCTTAAAAATCATTATCGAATGCTTTATGTTGTTTACCATTATGATTATCATCAAGAAGTGAGGTACAGTAATCCTCCCCATCTAGTGTGTGCTCAGCAGCAGGCGACAACAGTAAAGTTCTTATTCGCCTTTTAGACAACTTGGGTTTACGTGGGTATTTAGCTGCTCTGGAATCCCCACGCGTCCTATTAAGGGGCACCACATGAACATGCAATTAAAACCTAGTTACCAAACTCAGCTTAACATATAACTTAAAAGATCAATATAAGTAAATAAATGTCATCGTCCCCAGAACGTTACAGGTTGCATTCCTATTTGTACAAACCTGCCAGAAAATAGCATAAATCATAGCGTCCAGTTGCCTCCAACACCAAACCTACAATACAAGAAATACGACATTTGAGAGAGCCATGCTGAAGTATATTTCCATGTGTTCCCTGGCGTTGTTAAATCACACAAGTCACTCCAACACCAAACCTACATGTACAATACAAGATTTCTAAGGATAGTGATGTTTAGGCCAATGAGAGACCATCGAGGGATGTTATCACCGCTCCTGACCAACATTGCTCCTGATCCGGGGTAGAATAGGTCTTCAGCAACCAATGCTTGTCGTAAATAGCGACTATGCTTGCCGTAAAAAGCGACTTTGCTTGTTGTAAGAGGCAACTAACAGGATCGGGTGGTCAGGCTCGCTGACTAAGTTGATGCATGTCATCGATCCCAATTGCGTGGATCGATGTTCATGATGTAAATCACTGGATTGTCTGGTCCAAACTCGATTATTTACAGACCACCGTCATAAAGCTGGAATATTGCTGAGTGCAGCGTAAAACAACAAAGCAAACCAAAAAATACAACCTATGATGTTGTTTGTTTTTTAAAACAGGGCTTTAAACAGACTTGGGATGACTAAGTCATCTGTATGAAGATAGAATATCACGCATTATAATTACTTATGTCTTGTAATGAATACTACTGAATGTAGACTGGAATGTTGGTTGTAGGATGCAGCCAGCCACATGCCAGACATATTGGTTGGTTTGTCGTTTTACGCCGCACACAGCAACACTCCAGCTATATGACAGTGGCCGGTGACTTGGTTGATTCATGTCATCCTATCCCAATTGCGTGGATCGATGCTCATGACATCAATCACTTGATTTTCTGGTCCAGAAACCATTATTTACAGACCGCTGTCATATAGCTGAGACATTGGTTCGAGCGACGTTTAACAGCAAACCAACATTCCAACGATCCTGCACACACAAACCTTGACCTTTGATCAAATTAATCGGTTTCCTGGATATCCCAAAGCAAACAGATTTATCTAAGTGTGTTACAGTAACACATAAATTATGCTGGCTCGTTACTCCATGGCCTTAGACTCAAACAAATGATGCAGATCGTGCCCTTCGACTTTCACTTGGCATTACATTCCTACATCAAACAAATAGTGAATTATTCACCCAAAGAAAGTTTACGTTTTGCAACAAGTTTTTTTTAATTGATTTTAATTGTGGGGTTTCTGAACAATACATTACTTGACACGCTTTCATTGCTACACGCGAAAATTTATACTCCTTATGCAACACATTGCATGTTCACCTATCTACTTCTTGCCACTTTTTTAATTATTTTTTGTTTGTTTATTCGAGTCTGGACCAGACAATCCTGTTATTGACACCATGAGCATCGAACTGTGTAATTGGTATACGATGACATGCATCAACTAAGTCAGCGAGTACACTAGAGCCTGGCCATCCTATCTCGTTAGTCGTCTCATAGGAATATTAAATCTTCACGGGTCTATCCTTGATAGAGTGGTATAAGAGACGGTTATCGAAAAAAAATAATTGTCCCCGAAAATTCTTAAAACATGTAATAATGGTCGGTCAAAATTCAAATGGTCGGTGATGAACTATATACATTTCAACTATGTTGTTTCAATCATACACCTACACACAAATATCGGTTGAGTGTGACATTTAATAAAGTTCATGTGTACTTGCCCGCAAATGGAGGTCCTAAAAAGAGTCCAACTCCAGCAAACATGTTATTCAGCCCATACCCTGCTGCAAGCCGTTTTACACCAACAAGATCTACTAAAATGGGATTGAGAAGAGCCATTGGACCACCTCCATATAGTCCGTAAAGTGCACATACTATAATTTGAAGTTTAAATGAACTGGAAAAAACAGGAATCAGCATGATATTGACACCAGCTAAACCCAACATCCCCGTATGTAGAAGCAGAGTTCCAATGTCGGGATTATTCCCGGCTAACCCTGTCAGTATCCGGGCTATGGTGCTGCTTATGCCCATCGCAGTGAATAACATGGCGGCGTTTTGGGGCGATGTTCCCTTTGACTCAGCATAGTTCGGCAGGTGGACTTGAAATGCTGATTCTCCAAAAGACCATAGCGCATATGATGACACATATAACATAAATCCGTAGCGAGAGAATAAATCACAGAATTCACGTAACAGATTCCTCAGCTTTGTGAAAGGCTTGCTTTCCTCTCCTCGCTCACGATTATTTTGTGCAGACACATCGCCCCCTGTGGCCTCATGCTTTGGAGGTCTCATGAGCATCCCCCCAACACAAGCGTGCGATCCTAAAGCACCCAGAAGGAGGAACATGCCATTCAACCCATAGGTGTCAAAGAGGAATCTCACAAGAGGGGCTCCAGCCAGCATGCCTAACCCAGCCCCTGACACCAGAATCCCAGCAGCCAGTGGTCGAAGCTTTTCAAAATAATACCCCACAGCTACAGATGCTGCTGTTGTTATGCATCCAATCCCAAAACCTGAAACAAATTGTTATAACCAGGTTTACTAAAAATTGTATTTTGACCATCACGCAGTATTAAATAGTAAATAATGACCCTCCTATCTTTAGGTCATTGTTTGCTATGGACCTTTTTACATGTATAAATATGTCGACTGTTATAATAAAAAAAATACAGTAAACAGTTAAGATACCACTCATTTCGAGGTTTGATGTTAACAATGTTTTCCCCGGGTGCGCTAAACGGAAACCAGCGAGGAATCTACAAATCATTGCATATGTGTATTTATAGTTAAACCCCACCTTGACATGTAATGAAAATCCCACATCTCATCGATCAATAGTCATTATAAAGGTCAATAGGGAAGGGGTAGTGATACTGCCAACTTTCAAGTATAACATGTCACTGCACTTCCGCGTTCTGGAATGAAGGGATTATCTAAATGGAAAAGTCAAATGTGGAAATCGGAAGTGTAATATCATTGCATCAAAATGATACGAACATGCACCATTTATTTGGACTCTGCAAAAAAAAGAAATCCAAAGTGTTTTTATATGTATATTTAATATATCATATAAATATTCAACAGATGGTAATCGAATGTTCAAAGATACCACACATCATTGTCATTGACCCAGGTTCCATATGACACACATGGAACAGCAGATTTTCAAGGTGAAGATCATCTGTTCTCAATATCGTGTATGGCCACCATTAGAGTGCAAACCTGACTGGCATCGTCTTCCCATGGAAGCAACCTGATCCCGAATGTGGCGAATGTTCACCCACTCTGCCGGAGGTTCTGGGGTTCTGCGGTTGTTGCGGACGTGCTCGCAGTCGTTGATCCAGTGCATCCCATAAATGTTCGATTGGGTTTAAATCTGGAGACCTGGAGGGCCATGGCAGGACCTGGATGTTGTGATTCCTGAAAAAGGCTGTTGTCAGTCTTGCCGTGTGAGAACGGCCGTTGTCTTGTTGGAAAATGACGTTCGGTTGCTGCATAATGGGAAGGACGTGTGGCCGAAGAATCTCATGCGTGTAACGTTGTGCCGTTAAATTCCCCAGAACTTGCACCAAATCTGTTCTACCAGTGTAGGAGATGGCTGACCACATCATCACACTACCATCACTAAATCCGTCCACTTCCTGTATGTGGCTATACTCTGTAAACTTGACACTATTGACGTCGCAGCCGACGATGCAGGTCCGTCAAAATGACACCTCAAACTGGTCGTCTAGCGCGAATACCTCACTGTCTGGGCCGATATGTGACCGTGGTGGTTCTTTCACGTGATTTATAAGTGACGTAGCCGTATGAATCTGTCCAGTGCTCTTGTAGTGATACGTGGTCTACCGCATCTGAGAAGGTCACGTGTTGTTCCGCGTGTCTGATAACCTTAGTGAGTGAGTGAGTATGGTTTTACGCAGCTTTTAGCAATATTCCAGCAATATCACGGCGGGGGACACCAGAAAACGGCTTCACACATTGTACCCATGTCGGGAATCGAACCCGGGTCTTCGACGTGACGAGAGAACGCTTTAACTACTAGGCTACCCGGCCGCCCCTGTCTGATAACGGTTCCACAGTTTTGTAAATGGTGCTTGGTGTTCCATGGATATTTCTCCTGTTTGCAGTCGGCCGATGGCGTTGTTGCGTCAGTCGTGGCATGTTTTCGCTGTTCACTTTCTTGTCAGATTGTGCAAATGAAAACCCAACGTTTTTAAAGCCAAGCGATGTTGGACGTGCATTTCATGTAGGTGTATTTTGGTGCCAGGCTCTCGCGTGGTTGGCTTTTTGCGATTTTTCCATCTTTTCACCAAATTTCTGCAGTGCCTCATTCTTTCCACCAAAATCAATCCCAATCCATGCAGAAAGAAGAGTCTGCCACTAACGTGGCTATATCCCCCGCCCCTGTTGCAGAATTTATGACATAATTAAACGGTTTATGAGTAATGCTCCGGAAACGAACCCTACCCTCACAGAACCTAAGTCCATCTTGTTGCCATGGAAACGTAAAAAAAATTTTTTCTAAAATTTCTAAATAGCAAAAGGCACCAGTTCAGCATGTACCTGACAGACCTGCAAAGTTTGATGAAAAAATATTAAACGGTTTATGAGTTATGCTCCGGAAACGAACCCTACCCTCACAGAACCTAAGTCCTTCTTGTTGCCATGGAAACGTAAAAAAAAAAAATTTCTAAACTTTCTAAATAGCAAAAGGCACCAGTTCAGCATGTACCTGACAGACCTGCAAAGTTTGATGAAAAAATATTAAACGGTTTATGAGTTATGCTCCGGAAACGAACCCTACCCACACAGAACCTAAGTCCATCTTGTTGCCATGGAAACGTAAAAAAGAAAATTCTAAAATTTCTAAATAGCAAAAGGCACCAGTTCAGCATGTACCTGACAGACCTGCAAAGTTTGATGAAAAAATATTAAACGGTTTATGAGTTATGCTCCGGAAACGAACCCTACCCTCACAGAACCTAAGTCCTTCTTGTTGCCATGGAAACGTAAAAAAAAAAAAATCAAAAATTTCTAAATAGCAAAAGGCACCAGTTCAGCATGTACCTGACCAACCTGCAAAGTTTGATGAAAAAATATTGAACGGTTTATGAGTTATGCTCCGGAAACGAACCCTACCCTCACAGAACCTAAGTCCATCTTGTTGCCATGGAAACGTAAAAAATATAAATTTCTAAAATTTCTAAATAGCAAAAGGAACCAGTTCAGCATGTACCTGACAGACCTGCAAAGTTTGATGAAAAAATATTGAACGGTTTATGAGTTATGCTTCGGTAACGAACCCTACCCTCACAGAACCTAAGTCCATCTTGTTGCCATGGAAACGTTAAAAATAAAAATTTATAAAATTCCTAAATAGCAAGAGGCACCAGTTCAGTATGTGCCTAGTAGACATGCAAAGTTTTGTAAGAAAGTATTTAATGGTTTTTGAGTTACGCTCCAGAAACGAACAACACCCTTATAGAACCTAAGTCCAACTTGTTGCCATGGAAGCGTAAAAAATACAAATTTATAAAACTCCTAAATAGCAAAAGGCACCAGTTCAGTATGTGTCTGGTAAACATGCAAAGTTTAATAAGAAATTATTTAACGGTTTTTTTAAGTTACGCTCCGGAAACGAACAGCACCATTATAGAACCTTAGTCGAACTTCTTGCCATGGAAACGTAAAAAATAAAAATTTATAAAATTCCTAAATAGCAAAAGGCACCAGCTCAGCATGAGTCTGATGGACATGCAAAGTTTCGTAGAGAAATATTTAACGGTTTCTGAGTTATGCTCCGGAAACGATTTCGGGACGCACACACGCACGCACGCACGCACACACACACACGCACACACACGGACGGAACCCATTTCAATATCCCCCGCAAACTTCGTTGGGGCGGGGGATAATGACTAATTCATGTGTGGTATTATTTTTGTATAAATGTCGGCAACACGATTTTACGATTTGACTACTTTTGCGTTTTGATTTTTTTTTTGCAGAGTACAAATAGCGACAGCCGAGCGAGACGATGGGTTGGTAGGTTGGTTGTTTAACGCGGCACTCAGCAATATTCCAGCTATATGAGAGGTCTGTAAATAATCGAGTCTGGACCAGAAAATCCAGTGATTGACATCATGAGCATCGATCCACGCAATTGGGATACGATACCGAGCGAGACAGAAGATCTTTAGTATGTTGTTGTTTCTTGTTTTATTCTTATTTACATCTATGATGTCACTCATATGTTTCTTTCGCTGTGCAGAGTTGCCTCCCTTGGGCACGCCAGAAACCTCTGATTGTGGGTTCGAATCCCGGTTCGCCCCGATTATGTTTCTAGGTTTGTCAGCACCATACCCGTGCTCGTGGGTTTCACCGAAGTGGTAAACGTCTGAGACCTGCATCACTTCGGGCTTTCCTCCCACATTAAGCTGACACGCCGTGATATAACTGGAATACTGTTAAAAGCGGCGTAAAACCCAACTCACTCACTCACTCATATGTTTCAATTAAACTTACGGAAAAAAGTAACCGTGCTTCATATAAAGAAAACAAATATTCTGAACAGTCAGAACTTGCCACGGGCCTGGTGTCCTCGTCTGATGTCACGTCAGCATTCGGTTGATGCATCTACGGTACAGATACCAAACTGCTACATTAACAGCTTAGACGATTCCTGGGTTGACAAGACTGGGACAGTGTACAGTTCACAGATGAGTCAAGGTTTCATGTGGATAGCTTAGATGGGTGTGCAAGGGTCGACAGGCGTCCAGGAGAAGTTTAGGGGATGGGAGTGTAATGGTATAGGGTCGCATCACAACTCAGCATTGTTGAAACAAATCTAATGACATACGCTAAAGGAAGACATCAATCGAGATCATGTTTTACCCTTTGAGCAAATACAGGGATGTAACGTAACGTTGCCGTAACATATTGCAGGTGATGTAACACAACATTGCTGTACTACGATGGCCGGCTGTTTCTCCAGTCCTCCCCTAACGAAACATGTCTGGCGTGAGATGGACGGACGCCAACAACTGGACCAGAAACGCTAGCTCGCATGGGCCTATCAATGGTGGACATTTGGGTTGTGTTCAATCATCGAGTAACTCGGGAGTTTTCAATGCGCCGCCGCTGCCTCGCCTGTGTCAAGGCAAATGGTGGTCACACCCCATACTGACATTGTTAATTAAGTTTACACCACCCCTTCTCTAGGGCGTGTCTCCCTGTCTCCTGTTACCAGGAATGGGTTTTGTCAGTGTATTTCTTGTGATAAACCCTTCATGAGACGAAGCATTATGTTTCTATTTTCAATAACATCCCATTTACACCACTTTATATGAAGCACATTTACTTTCTCCCGTTAGTTTTGATTACCTGTAACGGATTCACAGTTTACTAACCTACTTTTTGTGATGCAAATTTCAAACTCCTGGATAAATTCAAAGCCGATGCATAACGAATGTACTTGCTGCAACGAACAAATCGCACAAACTTAAATATTTTCATGTATAACGAATATCATGCATGAAATTATTGTGCAACATATTTGTGTTGTAGCTATTTCCTTCTTAACTTTCGTATTTTAAATCTGCTTAAGAAACGATAAAACATCTTTCCAAGAGTGCAGTTCAGGTGCATCTGGAAGGAACCATCTAAAACCAACATTGACCCATAGAAACACTGTCAACATAATCTGACCTATTGCGCATGATGGCACATCTTCATGATTGACACCCTACACATGTACGTGACTCTTCAATGATTAATATGGTGTATATAGAGATAGTCATCACGTGTGTTGTATATTAATATTACGGTCTCATTCGAATGCAACTTTTGAAATTCTTACACATATCCCATATGATAACATACTCTACTAAATTCAGGCCATATTGAAATTGTGATTCGCAAAGTTGGCAAAAACACCACAGATACTATTATGAAAATTCAATGTCATTAAAACAACACTTGATAATATGCACAGATATGTTTGATGGCCAGTTGAGGAAAGCATTACTTACCTACACAGATTCCATATGATACTATAAGAGAATCAACGTTCCTTGAAAAATACGCAGCCGTGAGACCAACAAGAATACAAAGTCCACCAAAGACGGTTGTCTTCCGACAGCCGATGGCCTTCGTTATGCCGCCTGTGACTGGGCCTGTAAAGAAGAACCCAGCTGTTGTGTTACTACAAGTACGTATTCTATTATAACACAGGTGTTGTTAGCTTTGTGCATGTAAGGTTACTGTCAGTGAATTCCTTGTACGGTATGTATGGGTTAAACGTTGACAATGGCGACCGCTCACATCGCAGTGGGTGAGATAATTACAGAAAGACCAGAAACAATTGATTTCATAATGAGTTGACAAACTGTGTTTTTCATTAGTTAACTTTTCACAATGGCATACGCTGCTTTGCCACACCTGTGAGAGTCAGCGTCCCAAGCAGTGTGGACCCCACCCATGACGTCTTGACCACGCCCTCCTGCATCTGATCGAGGACAGCGGTATTGACCACGCCAGTGGAATAGTACAACACACCACAAACCATGTTAGATATATATCCACAGCCAAGAATCACCCAGGCATACCCACGATCAGCGGAACGCTCAGAGGAGGATTCAGCCATGGTAGACTTCGAGGATCACAATGTTTAGCTTTCCCCTCACGTGTGTCAGGACATGCCAGACCAGTCAGACTGAAAATGATAACACACGGCACATGATCAAGCACACAAAACTTACATTATCCTCACAACACGAGTCTTGTGCTCTTCCACTGGTGGTGAAACCAGGGACCTCAGTTATTGATACCTCTTGGGTCTACCACATACATTTAAGTCTTCGTCAAAACACAGTTAACAAGGGACATACGACGGCGCAAGTCCTACTTTCAAGCGGTAGTTCTATACAGGTCGAGGAAACATATACTCCAGTTACATGAAGAGAGAGGATGAAAAAGGATATGCTGTGTGAACGCAGAAAAAGTCAATAAATAGCCAACGAAATAGACACAAGTACACAGCATAGACCATATATTCACAACCTACACATGTACACAGCATAGACCATACATTCACAACCTACACATGTACACAGCATAGACCATACATTCACAACCTAGACATGTACACAGTATAGACCATACATTCACAACCTACACATGTACACAGCATAGACCATACATTCACAACCTACACATGTACACAGCATAGAACATACATTCACAACCTAGACATGTACACAGTATAGACAACACATTCACAACCTACACATGTACACAGCATAGACCACACATCCTCTACCTACACATGTAAACAGCATAGACAACACATTCACTACCTATACATGTACACAACATAGACCATACATTCACAACCTAGACATGTAAACAGCATAGACAACACATTCACTACCTACACATGTACACAGCATAGACCACACATCCTCTACCTACACATGTAAACAGCATAGACAACACATTCACTACCTATACATGTACACAACATAGACCATTCATCCTCTACCTACACATGTAAACCGCATAGACCACACATTCATCACACACACACACACACACACACACACACACACACACACACACACACACCAGACAGAAGATATCAATAAATTAATCTTTCCAAATAAACATGGTTCTTCACTCAAACATTTAATGTACCAGTGAAGCCAGAGAAATATGACTATTTTGCATTAAATATATGTACTTATCCAAAAAGGTTTTACTTGTAAAAGAGTTATTTGACGCAGTTGCTTGTGTAAGGACATCACCCATCATTGCTGAGCAAATCAAACAGTCAACTGTAAAGTGAGTCAAGCGGCATAGGTGGCTTAGATTGTCTTCCAGTGTCTGTACCTACAGGCATGACCCGTGAACATCCGGGTACAATAGGTCTTCAGCAACCCATGCTTGCTGTAAAAGGCGACTATGCTTGTCGTAAGGGGCGACTAACGGGATCGGGTGGTCAGGATCGCTGACTTGGTTGATGCATGTCATCGATCCCAACTGCATTCGATTATTTACAGCCCGCCTAATATAGCCAGAATGTTGCTGAGTGTGGTGTTAAACAACAAACAAACAAACAAACCTTCAGGCAGGCTACTGACACGTAATCTACTGAAGGATTTGCGGTGGTGTCAGGACATTATTCTGGTTACACTTGGTTCTTTACACAGATCTGTTTTTAAACATGCGGTAATACCGAAGCTTTTTACCATTTACAGAATTCCCATTATCATTCCACATATTGCTGAACCAATTCTGCTCATCTAGGATAAATAACTTCTTTTCGTGAATCTGGAGCATTGATTCGACATCCTTCCCTGTAGTCTGTGTAGTAATAACCTCATTCAAACCCATTGACTACTGAGCTTTTGCACCTTGCGGAGTCTGGTCTTTGGTGAAATAGGTATAGCTTCAGCCATAATCTGTATACCTCTAAGCGTGGGTTTGTGACACAACCCATATCTCGTCGCGTTGATGTATTTGATGTGTTAGCACTTGCACCGAGAAATAAAAACATGGCCTTACAAACAAACTCATCCCCAAGTGACATTACCAAATGACAAGGGTCAAAGGTTATCCATACCTATTGGGCTAAGGATGGAGTTCAGGGTAACATACCCGGCAACATTGGATGTGTTCAGACCAATATAATATACCTAAAAAACTGCATTCCTGTGCATAATAATGAAAATTAATTAATCGAAAACAATAATATATGTGTATTAGTTTCCATTTATAACCATTTTAGCCATTTGAATTACGAAAAAAATATTAATATTGAAAATAAAAGTGCTTTCATAAACTAGCGCTTGCTATAAAATGCGCCGCCGCAGCCTATATTTAGTAAACAAATATTAAACACTCTCAACATCGCTGGGCTCATTCAATGGCATTATTAGTCCAGGCAATCTAGGCCATTTTTTCACTAAACTTGGAACAAATTGCAACAGAATTTATTTTACCATAATGCATTTCTACAAGGTCCCGAAAACAACATACTAAAAGTCCCAAGCAATCCCAGTTTGGGAAATATGTCTAATTTCCATAATCAAATATGGCCACCAATTATCAATATATCTTGCATATGTCAGATGAGGGTCCATTTTTGATGAAAAAAAACATGTGTTGTATTGCGAAATAACCATATTATGTTTCTAAAAAGATATTCACAACAACTGAACATTTTCGACAATTAACAAATCTGCAAAAATTCAAGATGGCCGCCAATTTCAAGATGGCCGCCAAGTTTCCTAAATGTGTGTTGACACTGTTGAATCGTTTATCTCTAAAACAGTGTGCTACGACTAATATGCATTTAACTTGGCACACTAACTCACTGAAGTATAGTTAACACTTTTAGATAAAAAATTCCGTCACCAGAGCCCCCTGGTGTCCCAACATTCCAAGATGGCCGCCTAGAGTTTAATGGCTAGACATAGAATGTCAAGACACTGTTGGTCTCTGATGACATATTTGAGTGATTTGAAGTTCTACATTGGGGTAAACAGACCCAAGGATATATGTAGAATACTCAATCATTTGAATAAATCCAATATGACCACGAAATATCAATATTTATCTCCTAAATGACATGTTTTGGCGAGTTTAGATATCAATGTTGATTGTTATTGTCTGAATCTACTTATTAACATGACAATAAAGGCTATAACAAGTTTTGTTTTCATTCCTGTAAATACTTGTTGGAAACAAGGATGACCTATATGAGGTCCTCTCAGAATTTACCCCAAACCAGTTGTTTCACAAGAAGTCGATGAGTTATCTCCCTTGTAGTTCATTTGCTGAAATTCAATATAACCACCAAATGCCAATATTTGAATATAAATCTGAAACTTCATATTCACTGCGCATTCCGTCACATGATTGTGTGATCCATGAACATTATTACGTGATGAACAGTGGAAAAAATGTCACAGTGAATGCTGCAGCTTGACGTTGCAGGGTCATTATATACATGTACCTCGAAAGTCTCAACAGGTTTGTCATACCCCAAGAAGTCTGGTAACTGTTTTATTGGTACGGCTTGTACCATGGTATTTCCTGCACACAACATTGCAAGTGAGACCATATTTCCGACAAGTGCATCTTCGCGTGTTACAGTCTTTCTTTGAAATTACAGCAGATAATATCAAGGAGCGCTGAAGGTGCTGCAGTCTGATCTGACTGTGTTGATAAGCAATGTCCATCTGTCCTCTGCCATCCCCGCTCAAATGGATTCACATTGGACCCTTTCCACTCCTTTATCAGGTAGACATGGGGGCTGTGGTATCTTGCGACTGCAGAGGTTGCTGGCTGTGCATGTGATCAATTACTCGCCCAAAAATCCCAATTACTCTCCCCCAAATCGCTTGTATCATTAGCTATGCAGTCCTTCCACCTTATATCGGCCATATAAAGACATATGTTCACCTGCTTCGGTGATGACTTTTTCATCCCCAGTTTCCCTGTTTGGCTGAAATGTTTAGCCTGATGGCAGAACAAGGCATCATTCATGATTTTCTTCACTGCTAGACCCTTTCCTAAGCCACACAGTCGAGAAGTGGTGCCAAGAATTGCATGTAAAAAGAGCACATGCTCACATACATCACTGCCCAGCAGCCGCTTTGATTGATCATGCACCAAATCCTGTTCCTTCTTGAAGCTTGCTTGGGTTCTGGTGCCAGAAACGTTATGTGCTTCCTTTTCAACATGATGAGGAAGGAGGATAAGCAAATCTGTGTCATCTCCCACCAGGACCGTGTCTGTTTTTCTTGCAGATGTGACAGCGTCTTGTTTTGCCAGCTTCTCCAGTTTGTCACCCAGATAGGCAATAAAACGCTGTTTGATTTTTGCTTTGTTCAAGAATTATTCCTTCTACGATCGAATGACCATTTCGCCCGTGAAATAGTCTGTCTTACCAGAACAGGCCCCTGTTCTTCTCATGTGTGTGGCATCTTTCGTTGAAAGCCATGAAGCCATTGGCCATACAAGACAATGTAAGCAGCATATTTCTGCACAACATATAGATGGTATATACACTGTAGTTCAAATACGTGATATAACGTAGAACCTCTTGGTCGGGGTAGCCCATGAAGTATAGCACTACCATCAAGAATGTACTGGACATTTCCAAGTTCTTGTTGTTTAACTTGGAGGGTTTTCCAGATAGCATCAGCAAGGGTTGCCTTCCTGGCCTGCAGATAATTCAAACAATGCTGGCGGGTGACTACAGAGTTCTTACTTGAACAGTGCTGGTAGTTCAAGTAAGAACAGTACTGTAGTGGAGTGACAGTTTATTTCACAGGAAATGGTCATTCGATCGAAGAAGGAAGCATTCATGAACAACGCAAAACACAAACAGCACTTTATTGCACGTCTGGGTGACTAACTGGATAGATCTGGTGCACTTCTGTACATACAAAACAGGCGAACATTAACTTGTGCCTTTATGTGATGTTAGGAGGAAGGACTGGATAGCTTAAGGCACAAGTGATTTTGTGAGAAGGTGACAAAGAACCTACCACATGTAAGCCACCAACACTGCCGCCATTGCAACCTCTGTAGCCACAGCCCGCCATGTCCACTACCAGATAATGGAGTGGAAAGGATTCAATATGAATCCATCAGGGTGGGGATGGCACAGGATAGATGGACGTTGATTACTAATACAGACAGATCAGCCTGCAACACTTTCAGCAGTCCTGGACATCATCTGCTGTAATTGCAAATGGGACTGTAAAGCAAGAGTGAGTGACTGAGTTGGGTTTAACGCCGCTTTTAACAGTATTCCAGTTATATCGCGGCGTGTCAGCTTAATGTGGGAGGAAAGCCCAAAGTGATGCAGGTCTTAGACGTTTACCACTTCGGTGAAACCCACGAGTACGGGTATGGTGCTGACAAACCTAGAAACATAATTGGGGCGAACCGGGATTCGAACCCACAATCATAGGTTTCTGGCACGACCAAAGGACGCAACTCTGCACAACGAATCGCGGCGTCTCCGGCGACTGGGCCACCCGTGCCCCCCTGTAAAACAAGAACAAGCACTTACCAGAAATATGGTCTCATTTAAGTGTTGTGTGCGGGGAATGCCATTGTACAAGCTGATGATGTTCATGAATCACACAATCATGTAACGAAAAGAGCAGTGGATCAAACGTTTTCAGATTTATATTCAAATATTGGTATTTGGTGGCTGCAATGGATTTCCACAAATGAACTACAAGGGAGATAACTAATCGATTCTAGTGAAACAACTGGTTTGGGGTAAATTCTGAGAGGACCTCATATAGGTCATCCTTGTTTCCAACAAGTATTTACAGGAATGAAAACAAAACTTGTTATAGCCTTTATTGTCATGTTAATAAGTAGATTCAGACAATAACAATCAACATTGATATCTAAACTCGCCAAAACATGTCATTTAGGAGATAAATATTGATATTTCGTGGTCATATTGGATTTATTCAAATGATTGAGTATTCTACATATATCCTTGGGTCTGTTTACCCCAATGTAGAACTTCAAATCACTTAAATATGTCATCAGAGACCAACAGTGTCTTGATATTCTATGTCTAGCCATTAAACTCTAGGCGGCCATCTTGGAATTTTGGGCCACCAGGGGGCTCTGGTGACGGAATTTTTTATCTAAAAGTGTTAACTATACTACAATGAGTTAGTGTGCCATGTTATATGCATATAAGTCGTAGCACACTGTTTTAGAGATAAATGATTCAACCTTGTAAACACACATTTAGGAAACTTGGCGGCCATCTTGAAATTGGCGGCCATCTTGAATTTTTGCAGATTTGTTAATTGTCGAAAATGTTCAGTTGTTGTTAATATCTTTTTAGAAACGTAATATGGTTATTTCGCAATACAACACATGTTTTTTTTCACCAAAACATTGACCCTCATCTGACATATGCAAGTTATATTGATTATTTGTGGCCATATTGGATTATGGAAATTAGACATATTTCCCAAACTGGGATTGCTTGGGACTTTTAGTATGTTGTTTTCGGGACCTTGTAGAAATGCATTGTTGTAAAATAAATTCTGTTGCAATTTGTTCCAAGTGAAACCTTATTTTGCCTGGACTATATGTGAAGAGATGGTAGATCACTGGGAGGAGCCCTGGCGTCACGGGGCATTGTTTCGCCGGTGTGACTGGCAACAAAATACTACAAATCAAGTCATAGGGTATCTTTGAAAAGTTAGTGGTATTCTAAAGGTAGGCACAAACATTTTACGTGCACAATACCCCTCTCATTCATGACAGGTTAAATTTCCAGATTATTCCTAAGGAATGTGTACAATGATCTGAGAAGGAAATAACAAGCGCGAAAGAGAAAATGATTTCTGACATAACCTAAGCTTCATTAAATTGGAATGCATTCGTTGGATTATTTTACACTTACAGTGTACCAGTAATTGCATGTTACGATTGTTATAACTCTCCACTGTCGGAGGTTGACTAATTCATGGGGTTTTACAAGTCCATAAACACTCGCACGTGAGCCTTCGAATCTCGCAGATCTCGCACAGCTACGCGATAAGTATCGCTTTGGCTCGCACGGCGGTGATCAGTTTCTAATTATAGCTCTGAGGCCTGTCCCTCGGTATGTGGTCTCTGGCAAGCTCCTCACGGCGATAGTCTGTTCGGGGAGCTCTCTATACTATCGCTGCCACTAGTCAAAACTCCCCACTGTGATAGGTGGCCCCAACAATGCTTGGAGTTGAACTCGCAACCGAATGACCGTTATGATCACAAACAGGTGACGACTGTCGTGACGCCGAATACACTTACCGCTGATAAATTACTTTCTTTGTTTGTCTTTTTAAATTTCTATTTCATTAAAAGTATCATCTTTAATTGATATAGTAAGAATGTAAGGGAGAAGTTGGTTGATTTTCCGTTAGTCTGTAATCTCGAACCAATCTGATTATTAAAACAAAAAAGTAAATTCATCTAGAAAACATGGTCAGTCGTAAACCTTTTCAAAATGAAATATGACTGCATTCTGAAAGACAGAAACAAAAGTATAAACGTCACTAATATGGGGTTAGAGGGCAAATTTCAAGATTCTTGTAATGGCCGCGCCAACACTGGTGGCAGCGATGTTACCGAGAGTGTAACGAAGGTGTCACGCGCTGGGAAGGAGCTTGGGTCTCTGGGTTTTCCAATGGCGTCATTATATACGAGTGATTCCCGGGCTGTTGGAACATGACAACGATCGACAGCCAGTGATGCGTGAAGCCTAATCAGGGTCAGCTGGGGGAGTTGGCGTTTCAAATTAACCAAATAATCTAATTTTATAACCTTCTCATTTCTTGTCAAGAACACAATGAAACACATACATCAGCACACTACCTACCTGTTCAATGACAACGTGAATGGATTCCGGGACTTGACCGAGACGGGTCAACGTTATTATTAGACCGGTTAGCCAGCCCTAGAGCGCTTGCGATCATCGCCGCAGCCGCTATAGGACATGGTTGTGGTCTTGCTGCAGTGCATCAATGCGCCAGCGTAGCATACCCAGGGAACCAGGCTGTGCATCAATTGTTCCTCGCCATACAATACAAAAAAACATTGATGCAGAGCATCAAAGTTCCCCGCCATATGTGATGCCTCACAAACGCATAATTATGATGTTACTGAAAGGCATGATGGAGCATAATTATATTAACCACAAATGACACAACGCTGTTGTGGAAAAAAATATTATTTATTTTGAGTATTGGGAAATACAGTTGATACATTTGCATAGGGTAGGTCTATTTAAAAATAGTTTCTTGTTTAACGCCGCACTCAGCATTATTCCAGCCATATGACGGAGGTCTGTAAATAATCCAGTCTGGACCAGATCATCCAGTGATTGACACCAAGAACATCGAACTACGCAATTGGAATATGATGTTATGCATCGACCAAATCGGCGAGCCTGACTACCCAATCCTGTTCGTCGCCTCTTACGGCAAGCATAGGTTGCTGAAGACCTATTCTTACGTGGATCTTTATTTAAAAAGTAGATCGAAGGAAATGGAAGCAATTTCTGGCACAAATGTAAACATGTGGAAATAGTATCAAAACTGCCAACAACATTGTAGATCACATTCTTTTTACAACTAGCATTTGGTTATAATAATGTAAATGAAAATACTAAGGGCTCCATATGGCAAAAAAAGTCATACTAGATAAGGTCTTTTTGTCACAACCACAGATGCACATACTCAAAATATTATCACGTAGTTGGAGAACATTTCAATACCGGGACTAATCAATAACGGAGATTCCTCGTCTCTTGTTTTACGTTTTTTTGGTCAGTTTTTTTTTGTATTTCTTTCTTTCAAAGAATAGTAATTGTGATCATGATGAGTTGAGTTACTTGGGTTTTTTCTATATACTGTTTTTTTATCCAGTGTCAGTAACTGTTGTGGAATGTGGTTTACTTGTAACAATGACTGGTTTGAGTTCATATGATGATGATTGATTGGTTTGTCGTTTAACGCCGCACTCAGCAATATCCCAGCTACATGACGGCGGTCTGTAAATAATCGAATCTGGACCAGACAATCCAGTGCCTTATATCATGAGCATCGATCCACGCAATTGGGATCGACGCCTCTTACGACAAGCATAGTAGCCTGATATATATATATACTGTTAAGATGTAACATGACAATTCATCCATACTACTAAACAGAAGTAAAACCGCTGGTCCATTCGGATCAATCTGACCAAGACCATTCCGCTGATGACAGTCAAATAATGCATACGAATCGAAATCCGTAAAAATTGCAATGGAGACATCATTAAAAGTTACCAAAAGTGACGGGGATATCAATATTGCTTTTTGAAATGATTCTATGAAATTTGTTTTCCCTGCTTCAATATTTGGAGCACCTGTGACGGAGCCATAAAACTGATCTGTTATGTAGACAATATCGCTTGAGGCAGTGGCTGCTGGGGACTGATTATGACCTAAATACTCCCCATAGCCTTCGGTGTTAACTTTGTGGCTGTTGAGAGCTGTGCCTTCATCCAACAGATTATCGAGGTCAGTGGAACAGGTACAGACGCAAATAGATTTGAGCTATGGGACACAAAATATATGAGTGACCAGAGCTACGGCTGTACATTGAATTCCATTAAACGGTTGAAAAATACTACAGCCTTGATGCAAATTCGCTGACACACTACTCCGATTTTGCTTTGATCATGACTTTGCTACCAAACGTTTCACATGTGGTTATGTGCGGTGCACTGATTAAAACACACACACGGGGGACTGGGTTAATTCAAAATACGGAATATAACTATTCCAAATATTTCCAGTGAACATGAGCATCCAAACAAACAAAAGTGTGGTATGTAGAATATGGAACTCAGCCATATTACATTTAAATTGAGATGTCGTCGTTGTTCATGAATAAGCATATTCAGAACATAATTTTTATTATGCTGTTATTTACGATCTCCGGAGCACAGTTCTTTTGTATACACCGTGAAAATCAGAAAATTAGTCCTTGAGGAAAAAAGGACATCGGATTACACATGAATGGTTTAATAATGTCAGCTAATGACCAGAAACGGTCAGATGCATCAATTAACTACATAAAGACGATTTTGAAGTATCTCTTATTGCTGGAAAAGAATAGCATCAACATTCGACGCACATGATTTGTATGTTTTGTTTCCGTAAATGCGTGGCTTGAAATTTCAAATAAACCAACATGTCGACATACATGCCACAAATTTAACGTTTCCCGTATACTTCCCCGCCTTAAGGGCGGGGAAGAATAATGTGCAGATGAAGGAAGTGTAAGCTATGAGAGGACAGGATTGGTGTAAAGTACAAATTGGTTATTATTAATGTGGTTATCTTTGGAAAGCGCAATAAAAGAAACAGAGTCTTTAAATGGTCAGCACAAGTAAAACCAAGGCAAGAAAACACAGAACTTGGCCTGTCAGGCAGGACTTGACATATAGCCACTATTAGTACCAATAATATAAAAAATAAACGTCCTATATAGATAACACAACAAATGTCATTCTTAAACATGCTTTGGTAGCAAATATCAATATTTCTGGTCAAAAAGTTGGCTGGGTTAAATAAAACAAACTTTTTAAACAGTTACAAATAAATGTAATGAATCCACTCTAAATAAACTTCAGTCCAAATGTAAAAACATGTTCATACATTCATTAAGGGATTCCTATTATCCAACAGCAAGTTAAGAACATACAGGCTGGTCAAGTCATCTATAAACATTGAGAATTACCTTACATATTGTAAAAACAAAGCTCATAGGTCATATTTCTCAAAACCTAAGTTTAAGTAATCACAGAGTAAAAACTAAAACTGGTAGATATACAAAAAACACCAACCCCATTGGAACAGCGTATCTGTGAAACGTGATGTCTCTTGTATACCATACAACCAAGAAAGAGAATCCCAAATTATCCTCAATCATGATAAATGATTGTTATAATGTACCCGTGTATGTTGAATGTACCTGTGTGTTTTAATTGTCACTTATTGTGCATGTAGTTTGTAGTTCGTGATAGTGTAATATTGCCACCGTTTCTTCATGGAATGTTACGCAATACTTATCTCATGTAAAACATCTTTGTTGTATGATAGTTTGTTACAGTTGTGTACGGGGGCACGGATGACCTAATCGCATAAGGCGCTGCAAAACGCTACGCAGAAACCTATGATAGTGTGTTTGAATCCCGGTTCGCCCCGATTATGTTGTCAGCACTATACCCGTAACTCGTGGGTTTCACCGAAGTGGTAAACGTCTGAGACCTGCATCACTTCGAGCTTTCCCCCCAAATTAAGCTGACACGCCGTGATATAACTGGAATACTGTTAAAAGCGGCGTTAAACCCAACTCACTCTCTCCTAGAGTATAGACACTGGTGAAGAAATTCACGTGCAATTCGTTCTGACGTCTTCTAATCAGTCGTTTCTGGGTCAGGGCCTCCTCCTTATAAAGCTTCATAGTATGGTGGCAGAGAAGGAGCATCGCTTTCTCGCCTTCAGTTACGGCCGCGAGAAAGCGTTAACACGAGTGAGTGAGTGAGCTGGGTGTAACGCCGCTTTTAACAGTATTACAGTTTTATCACGGCGTGTCAGCTTAATGTGGGAGGAAAGTGCTTCTTGCATATATCTACCTGTATAAAGTAAACTTGTATATACCGCAAGGCATCGACTCCATGTTGTCACTTCCTACCGAGAACCATACCCCGACCACTTGCATATAGGAATATGCAAATAATCATTGGCAACGTCACGTGTGTCTGCAGCGCACGTGTAGCAACGCGTTGTTAATTTGGTGGAGCTATCTTATTCTGTCCTTTCCTTGTACCCCTTTGCAGCAAGGCGTATCGTTGACAAAACTGTAGGAAGTGACAGTCTCTTATCAAAAGGATATACTACCATCCTGAAGGCCAATCACCAGGTAACAAGATTAAGGAAACAACATGAACCTCCGATCAAGAACAAGTTCTCCGATCCCAACTCTTCTCAAGTCAATATCTTAGCAACACTGCTAATATTTCCCCTTCAAGATTTCGCCCCTGCACAGGACCAATGAAGTATACCCGTCTTTCCCACAGACACCCGACCACAGCAATCATCATGCAGATCCTGCGCTATACAGAAACCGCCTCACGAGCACCTACAAGATGGACACTGTGTACATGATACTGTGTCATAGCTTTCTTCTAAAACCAAATTCCTATTAGAAAATATATATCAATCAACCTATATCGGTAAACTAATCTGACTATTCTTAAAGTAAATTCAGTATAGCGAATGCACTAACTGACCGCCGCATACAAGATACTTTATGTTTCAGCCAGGCTGACACAAAGGGTCACTCTCTTTGAGAACCAGTGATTAGTGAGTTAACTTCACGTCACAGGGCCGGCATACATGGTCAGTCCGACTGTGATGTAAGGGTCAGTTAGGCAATATAACAACCTACTTGAATAAATCCGTGAATAATGACACACACATCCATGGTCACAGCCGATCAACCGCTGACACCTGGGATGTTGTGATCTTTAGTTATGTAACGTAATGAAGGCCTGAGTTGTATATATACGGCGGTCGGTGGTAGCGAACTTCACTCTGCTTCCACCGAATACACGCCATCAACTCAGTCCTCTGTTCTTCAAAGTAAGACACTATTTACTTAACTGTTAACTTATTTTGTCAGCTACGATCTTAATCCGTTAGGTGTAGGTTAGATCTATTTCGGCTATATCGTAGCGTTGTGAAAATTATCATTGACTTAATATCCAGACAATACTTCCTTTCGCGAATGTATATTTTTGTATATTAGTATGCTAGTTGCACGGCAACATCCCAATATGAGTATGTGTACCAATGTCAATAACTTGTACGTTCCTACATTCAGTGACACATACTCATAGCAATGATTTGCCTGCAACTTAGTAACATTGAA